TTTGTGTTCTTCAGCCATGAGTGACACAGCGGACGGCGTGAGGAAGTGGTACGATATTGCGCTGGTAATGACGTTGATCGGCTGGCGCCGGCCGGCCCGACACGCGAGGCACGGTGTGTAGGGCATCGGTGTTGAGAGTAAGTGAACTCTGGCTGGCGTAAATATATGTAAACAAACACCCGTTCTGAATGAGTACTACAACGAAAGAACGTTTAATATTGCCAAAATGTATTATTCTTTCACTGTGGCCACTTAGTGATCGAAATTTTTTTCTGACCTCTAGACTGCTGGAGACGAGAGTACCTCGTTTCGCTGCGAAGGGAGATCGTTGAACGTCCTTTGCGAAATGCTCCATTTACTTTCGTTTGCGTAAGGGTGGCCGTGTGACACGGACCGCATCTTCGTTGTCGTCAGGACGAGGGAGTTAAACGGTCTTCGCGGGTGCCCGTGTGACAGGGGTCTAAGACTTATGCTTCTCGTCGGCTGTCTCGAGGGTTGTGGAGGCTGTGATTCGTAAAAGACGGCGCCGCTGACGTTGCTTGGCATGTATCAACGGGAAAATGTTCACCGTCGTACTTAATTGTTGCACGCCGCTAAAGCTTACACGAATGCAATCGGCTGTGTCGTCTGCTGCAGCTGCAGCCATCTTGTGCTGCACGGACTGGACACTACCTAACGAGCAAGTGCAAGAATCAGTGAACTAGCATTGCACGAGAGCTGCACTTTTTCGAAACGTATGCCGAAGTGTCGCGACTCCATGAACCTGTTCCCGAAGTGCAGGTAAAACAAATGGTCCTGTCACCAGAAAATCCATCGCAAAACTTGAAGTCACTGGGTCAAGACAACACAGCCGCGGAAAACATGGAGTGACCCGATTAACCCATCTTCTTCTAAGGCATATAGTTAATCTGCTCAACGCAGATTGCTGCTTCTTCCGTTCGCTGCAGCCCAAGTCGAATCCCTCATCTCTCACGAATTCATACTTGGCAGGCCAACCAACCGAGATAAGCGAGCACCATCCAACTTCTGATATCACTGAGCGAAGGGCAAGGGCGAGCGGAGTGAAGCACAATGAACCCAAGTCAACGAGTTTCCGCGCTTCGCCCTTTTTAAAATTCACAAAGAATCACTATAAGAGTTCTTTACCATTCGACTTTCTTTATTTGTTAGTAAAAATCGTAAAAGGCAAAACTCACGAATGGCCACACCAACCTCACTTCGTTCAATCGGATCTTACGATGCCCGGTGACCGCACTAAGAGCCCGCATGTTCCTCGAAACCAAAACCGATGGTCAGTTTTCAGGACCTGGTACTGTGCTCGCTGGATTAATATGCATCAGTAGTCCAGTGACCCAGTTCCCCTCTCGAACACGCAGTGCCTATTATTATTCGTGTTATCAGTGAGCAGGTCGCTTGATTGATTGATTGATATGTGGGGTTTAACGTCCCAAAACCACCATATGATTATGAGAGACGCCGTAGTGGAGGGCTCCGGAAATTTCGACCACCTGGGGTTCTTTAACGTGCACCCAAATCTGAGTACACGGGCCTACAACATTTCCGCCTCCATCGGAAATGCAGCCGCCGAAGCCGGGATTCGAACCCGCGACGTGCGGGTCAGCAGCCGAGTACCTTAGCCACTAGACCACCGCGGCGGGGCAAAGAGCAGGTCGCTTAATTATCTACCGCGCTAGAATCAACATGCCTGCATTCGCATACGTAACGGTAATTTATCGGAGTGCAAGGCAAAATAAAACACATCAAGTGCGCGCACACACTTTCTATTATGCTTAATAGTTATTGTGACATATGAAAAAAAAAACCTAATTGTCACAATTTCGGCGTGACTAGGCGTCCTTTTTTTATGTTAGAACTGAAGAACACTAGATTGTGCGCACTACCGCATTGTTTCCTAAAATTAACTGGAGGAAACTATGGTACTGCGATCGTTCAGCGACCATAAGAATGATGGGTAGCACACGGATTTATTTGCCTAGTCTTCGTACTTGCGGACGGCGAATCTTACTAGAGTGGCTTCGTTTATTGCTGTGTTTTGGTTTTGTTTCGAAGAAAAGGACAAACCCTTTTGAACTTCGTGACCCAATTTAAAATGGTAAGGCTAAAATAATAAGGTGGTGAAGCGGCAACGGCTCCACATTTGCTGATTTTTGTTCTGTGAGAAAACAGCTCCAAGCCAAACACACACACACGGATCCAGAAGTACGATGATTAGACACATCCGTGTACTACGCATCATTCCCATGCTGTCTCAAGCACTGTGCGTTGCAGCTCCCATAGACACTAGCGCCAGAGTTCCCTCTAGTGTATATTAGAAAACTCTGTGCACTACAGAACGCATATAATCAATGCTACAATTATTAAAGGTACGCCGCTGCTTGCTTTAAGGGCGGATGGTATATGTAAGTTTTAATATAGTATTTTTGGACCGGCTCCAAGTACACTCGCGTAAAATTTCACACGCTCGCGAAAAACGCCGCTAGGTATATCACGTGACACCCCTTTTTATGTGTATGTCGCCCATCGTTCCAGCCAACTCCCGAATTTTATTGTGGGTTTACTTATTCAATGTGCCTCTTCTCAGCAACGAACAAAATGAATCTAGGTATATTGAATCGGCCGTGTTATTATATATTCACGTAGGTCATATCTGAACTGAAAAAAAAAATAGGGCATTCGTTAGAGAGTTACTGCAAAAAAGAATAACTGCATTCACAGTGACACAGAGGGTGCATATTGCTGTGTAACTTTTTTACAGCTTCACTTCCCAAATATCAGCAATTTTTTTTGTTCAGATTGTTTCCGACTTGTTGAGGTGCATTCATGCAAAGCTTATTAAAATATATTCAGTAATATGTTAGAAAAGGCACATTGAAGTTCTAAGTTTGTATATAAAAAACGCAATTTGAAAAAATATATATATTTAGGTACTGACGTAGCATTTAAACCGCTTGGAGCGGCCACTCGACGTCGGGCTTCCACAGGTTCGTTACTCAGAGTGCAAGAAATTTTTGACTGTCAAAATTGCAAAATTGACTTCTAGGGGGAGTTCACCCCTACCATTCTTCCTTTATCTATATACCGGCAAATTCTACCTATATAGCTTGATCTATCTGTCCTAAAGCGGTAGTCTAGTGGATAAGGTACTCGGCTGCTGACCCTCGGGTCGCAGGATCGAATCTCGGTGGCGGCTGCTGCATTTTAGATGGAGGCTAAAATGCTGTAGGCCCGTGTGCTTAGATTTAGGTGCACGTCAAAGAATCCGAGGTGGTCTAAATTTTCGACGCTCTCTACTAAGACGTCTCTCATAATCATATGGCGGTTTTGGGATGTTAAACCCCACATACCAATCCTAATTATCTGCGGAAGATGCCACGAACTCTGAATAAGAGTTCTAAGAATGGATTTTGTCGTGAAATTAAGGTGAACTTTACTGCCTTAAAAATTGCAGTTGTGTCACGAGTCGATATTAGTTCAGCTGATATTGACTTCAACCACACTCATTGAAGACTCGCTGGCGACAGCCTCAGCGCGAGACCTTTGCGATCACAAATCATTCGATCACAATTAGCCTACGAAATTTAAGATTGAATTTGGTGCTTTCGCTAAAAAAAATTACGCCATGATTTCCCAGCTGTTGCGTCACATCTGCTTTATTTTCTTGCTCCGCTTGATGTGTTCTCTTCTCACACAGATGGCGCTAAGCCATGAGCAGCTGATAAGCTGCCGTTTTCTGAACGTAAGGGGTTCCATAGGAGCTTCGCTATATACCAGATACATTTATCTTAAAGTTCGTCGCTATGCCTATCGTGCCCACTCATGTAGGGAGGGACAATCGCGTTTAACTCTGACCGACTCACTCTCAATGGGCACTGGCTTTTGCCGAGCAAAACTCTGTTGTTTACAAAGTGACCATTTTTTTTTTCACTTACAGGCTTGGTCCAATGATATGTCTGCGTTCAGCCCAGATCGTTCGATGGAAAGGTGCTTATAGGCTCTGATGTAGTTGAGAGCAAGGACCTAAACATGAGAAATATGTAAAGCTTAAAGCCTCCATTGCGTCGTTCATTACGTCATAATTTAACGTCACACAGCTATGTCTTTAGATGAAGCTATTGTGACGCCTGTCATCGTTGTAAATGCACACGGGTCATCTAACATTCATAAGTTCTCAGGGCCAAGTTCAACGAATGGAAACGACCTTGATCACGCTCTCAGCAACGAGCGCAAAAGGTATCTCTAGGCTCCGCAAGATGAGCAAGCATTGTGCAGTTGCTTTTTTTATTTGGAACACGCCGCGGAGGTGTGCCGGGTACGGTGCAGCGGCTGCTGACCCGACGGCCGCCGGTTGGATCCCCGCAGCCTCGGTCGCATTTAGAAGGAAGCGAAACGAGGACCACGTGCTATGCGATGTCACCACATGGTCAAAATCGCCGGAGCCTTCCGGGGCATCTGTCATAATAACACCGTTGTTTCGGGCCCTTTATAAATATATATTGAAAAATGTTTTCAGTTTGCTTCCTCAAGTCCTCAGTGGCCTACACTAGGCGTTTCAACCAAAGGCGATATTCGGGTGTGGGTCAGGCCGAGTACAGACCTTTCGTAACTTTACAACAGTCTCGAAAGGCTTCACTTATGCTAATTTTCTGGGGCCAATATTTTACGTAGATCGTGTTCAGCATATGCTTTCCCGCATTACGTTTAGAAATTTTGTAGGGAGCCTTCTCCGAAGCAGCACAATCGCAACTTTTCACAGAGCACTCCGTTCATACTACTGCATTCAATGAACATTCACCTGAGCTTTAGCGTCTTACATATGTCATTCCACGTAATTGAGATGACATCTGGGATGGATCTGGGAGACTCGGCCGGGTAACATTGACTTACCTATATCTTTGTTGCACTTAACTGATGTTACAATGAGTTTTATTGTTCGAACCACTAGCTTTTATTAAATCTTTGCTTTTGTTGTTTACTTTCAGCCATCATTCAAATTCCAAGAGGCCTAGGCACCCCATCAAAGTTGGTTCGAAGACTTCAGGGACTGCAGACACAAGAAAATGTTTCTTTTCATTGGTTGTTGATGCCGACACCTCAGGATTACAATCCTGTCTGCATTTATACCATACGTTCTACAAACATAGTTTCTCTCGCTGACCAAGTTGGCATGAACTCTACAAAACTGTGACACGAAGCTCTGTACTGACGCTACCACAGCGCACGAAGCCGTTATGGCGATTGACAACCTCGATAGGTACGTCAACGAGTTCTTCCTGAAAGGCCTCCAGGTGGACGAGCGCGATGACGAAGCTGAGGGTACCGCCGCCTTCACTCAAGCTATCATGAAATACGGCGTGCAGTGGACGTACAGAGAGGAGCTTTCAATCAAGGATGCTGCCGTACTCCGGCGAATTTTGAGCACAGGACCACCAGTCAGGAAGCTTATTCTGCACCGAATTTCACTTTGCCCGTTCAAGGTCGCTTTTAACAACCGGGAGGTGTGCCGCTCGCTAGAGGAAGTTCACATTGATTACGTCGACTGCGAAGGCAAGGCCTTGAGCGTCAGTCTCTGTGGAATGTTTCAAAGCCTGCGCTCGCTTTTCCTGTGCTGTGTTAACCCCGGGAACACATTCGCGGATGACATTGCGAGCTACATCCGACATAACAGTTCACTGAGGAAACTCGGCCTCTGTAACTCCTGCGGTGGTGACAAAGGTGCTGCCACCCTAATGGAAGCACTAACCGGAAACGACACTCTCAAGACATTTTCCCTGGCCGACATGGATCTATCTTCCGACACCCTAACGGGCTTCGCCAATGTGCTGGCATCCAATTCGACGTTGGAGATGGTGAGCCTAACTGCCGTGTGTCCGGTGGAAAAGGAGAAGGTGACGTGGTTGCTGGGACAGGAACGGTACGCCGGTGTGTTCAGGAGGCTTAAGATTCAGTGGCCCGAACGGCTTCTGCCCGAGCTCACCGCACTTCTCCGCAAGGGAGGCTGCTGTCCGGAGTTGTCCGTCACCGTTACCTCCTCGACGTGCGATGGAGTTCTTCGGGAGTTCTTCGAGGCCCTTGCAGCAGACAAGGCTGTGCGTGGGCTCCACTTCCTCTCCAACGAGGACACGTTCGAGGCGTTCGCTGACGGCATCGCGTTCGTACTGAAGAGCACGACCACACTCCGTGCCGTCAGGATAGACATGTGCGTTGACTCCCCTCAAGCGCATCAGCTCATCGGCATTTTCGACGCCTTGAAACAGAACCATTCCGTCACCAAGTTCGCTATAAACGCCGAAGACGTCACGCCCGAAATAGCAACGTCACTGTCCGAGTTGCTGGCTGTTAACAACACGCTAAACGACGTGGCCATTTTCAATTACTGCGAAGTTTCGTCCGGCGAGATGGAGACCATCGTGAAGGGTTCGAAGACAAACTACACCTTGACCAGCTTCGCCGTCTTCGGCGAACCCGACTCCGAAGGGATCCGCGAGATGTCCGCGATTTTACGAAGGAACAATCGCCTCAAGGACAAGGCTGCACAGTTCGTGATTTCGGGCGCAGACGCTGGCGACGAGACAGGCGTGGATGCCCTGAGGAAAGTGCACTCAAGCGATGACCTCGTGCTGCAGCTGCAGAGGCTTACTGGCTGGACAAGGGAGGAGGCGTTAGAAAACGTACGGTCAGCTTTAGCCTCCGTATCTTCGCGAAGAATGGTGTAGAGCAAATGGTAACGTCTTCGAATACGTCGGCAATGTATTGTAGCCTTTACATTGCCTTTAACTGGCAGTGTTTTGTGTGAAATGTGTAACAATGGTTATTTTGAGAGATTACTTCAACTGGTTGTGTGACAGCATGTACACAAGTGATGCATGTATATTGCATACGCCCACAACATTTTTGTGTGTTGGAACCGTTGGAACATTGTTTGATATATTACCTAATTTGGTGTATGAGTAGAATATTCTTTTGCATTTTATGTATTTACACGTGCTGTGGGAACAAATGCGGTAGATCTTAATCGTTCTGTTAGTCAATGTCAAACGAAGCACTAAGCAGCTTAGTATATGCCAATACGTAGTATTTCTTTATTGCTTTAATTTTTGTAGGTTGGACCGATTTCTTTGAGCATTTTTAGTAGTTATGTGCATGTCGTGAGCAAGCTCGTACTTAGAAATGCTTAGGGGGGGGGGGGGGATAGAGCACTTGCTGAGTATATTCGAGAAATTTGCTTATTTGAGGAAGCAGCAACTCGGAGGTGAAAGAGGCTCATAGTGCCCTCACCCTCTCCGGCTTCCTGGATACGGAATTGATCGTGAGCTTAGCAGACACGTAGACTAGACACTGATGCTCAAATATTGCTACATTGTACGACGTAACGCCGATACTCATGTTACAGCGCACGTGTCAGTTTCACCAAAATGAAGTGCCTGTTATACCGTGCGATGATGTATTGTATGCAATAAACGTTTACCGTCGTATTCCGCGGGGTTGGGCAATGCTCCTTACATTGTTACAAAGGCCGAATGTGAACGCTTTAACCATCGTCAACGCTGCGGTGCAATTTGGAGTGATGGAACAAAACAATCCATGATACTTTACAAAAAAAAGAAAGGCTTCACGTGCTGTTTAAATCTTCCGCTAAAGCGCACACCTCTCAAATGTTATGTTAAATATACACTAATGAAATTCAACATGATTTGCCGATACTCCTTAATAATCTTTTCTTTAGATATGATATCGTATATCAACCCGGTTGTACGCACGGTTACTGCTTACCAAATACACAAATTTCGAAATTGCTCGTGAAAATGCACGTACTCTTCCTAATACTTCTATTTTGAATACGCACTTTTAAATATGTTTGTAGTAGTATTTATTTTTTCATAACTATTTTTGTCAGTGCAGAGTACGTTTCATCACTGCTTTTTTTTATTTCGAAAGTACGCCCCTAGGCATAATCATTTTTCAAAAATACACGTACAAGTTTTCTTCATGTATGAGGTCTAGTAGCGCTGCTTTTTTTTTATTTCATTTGCGTTAGCAATCTTGTTTCCCCACTGAACCTTGCTTTGGAAGTGGGGAATCCTCAAGCTATTTGATATGCAGCTTTTTTTCTTCGTCCCAACCACTCATTGAAAAATATGCATGTGTTGAACAAACTCGACGTGTTTCCAAAAGTCCTCGAAAACATTTTGTTGTACGTGGACTAATAGAGTCTACGAATTGATCAAGCCTTCTATTTCGGGTGCACGTTAAAGAACCCCAGGTGGTCGAAATTTCCGGAGCCCTCCACTACGGCGTCTCCCATAATCATATGGTGGTTTTGGGACGTTAAACCCAACAAATAAGCCTTCTCTTTCAATACATTTGTCATTCAAGCAAACAAAGACTTTCATCCACCCCATTCATGCATGCGCCTGCTCATGAAACCGTAAATCTCAAGAACATCGAGATCACCGGAGTCATGTTCCAAGTACAGCAGTGACTGCTCCACATTGCCGGGAAAAATGCTTTTTCGTCATTCACGTACCAACCCTTTCACGCCAATAATGAATTGAAAACACCATATAGGATGAATACTAACCCCCGTATTCACAAACGCTCCTCGACTCAACTTTCACCTTTCACTTGCGGTGGTCTAGTGGATAAGGTACTCGGCTGCTGACCCGCAGGTCGCGGGTTTGAATCCCAGCTGCGGCGGCTGCCTTTCCGATGGAGGCAGAAATGTTGTGCATCCGTGTGCTCAGACTTGAGTGCACGTTAAAGAAGCACAGGTGGTCGAAATTTCCGGAGCCCTCCACTACGGCGTCCCTCATAATAATATGGTGGTTTTGAGACGTCAAACGCCACATATCAATCAATCATCACCTTTGACTTGACACAGTTGAGCACTGCGTCACAGCTCTGCTCAAATTGACCCTGCGCTACTACAGAATCGCAGCAGATGATCGCTGATATGCAGTGACTTGCCGTGCCTAGAGATGGCGGTGAAGTGTTGGGTGAAAATGCGTTCTAGAATACGGGGGTAAGATGTACTTTTTAGTCGAAGCCAGATGCTAACTTAAACGCTGATTTTGATCAAGCTGCGCGGCACGGTGGCACATAAAAGATACATTCAGACATAGACGGCGCCGAATAATTGAAACCTTCTGCTTTTTTAACGCACTTCTTTCTTTGGGTGTGTTCTGCACGCAGTTTGACCAAGATAACGCAAATGGACTCGTCCAGCGCTTCGTGTAAACTTACTCTTGAGTGAAGCTTTTGTGTTTTTGTAACCAGCGCACCCATTACCGGTCTTCTTTTCGGTGTTCGCCCTCTCCAGCTTACAGTAGTGGTCTGCCTGTGAACTCCCGTGAGTCTCGCCGCCGCTCACCATCTCCCAATCGCCGTTCCGTGTCGCCTTTGCGACCCGCCTCCAATGTCCTGAATGCCCACTGGGAAAACTCCCCAATGCAGTTTTAGGAAGGGAAACTGCGTCCACCGGACAGCCAGCAATTCCTCCAGACAGACAATCGAACTTGTTAACAGTGTTAGTCGAAGGTATACGCGCCGAAGCTCTAGTGGATATCATCATCATCATCAGCCTGACTACGCCCACTGCAGTACAAAGGCCTCTCCCGTGTTCCGCCAGTTAACCCGGTCCTGTGCTTGCTGCAGCCAATTTATACCCGCAAACTCCTTAATCTCATCTGCCCACCTAACCCGCTTCCCTTCTCTGGGAATCCAGTTAGTTACCCTTAATGACCAGCGGTTATCCTGTCTACGCGCTACATGCCCGGTCCATGTCCATTTCCTCTTCTTTATTTCAACTATGATATCCTTAACCCCCGTTTGTCCCCTAATCCACTCTGCTCTCTTCTTGTCTCTTAAGGTTACACCTACCATTTTTCTTTCCATTGCTCGCTGCGTCGTCCTCATTTTAAGCTGAACCCTCTTTGTAAGTCTCTAGGTTTCTGCTCCGTAGCTAAGTACCGGCAAGATACAGCTGTTATATACCTTTCTCTTGAGGGATAGTGGCAATCTACCTGTCATTATTTGATAGTGCTTGCCAAATGTGCTCCACCCCATTCTTATTCTTCTAGTTACTTCAATCTCGTGGTTCGGCTCTGCGGTTATTACCTGCCCTAAGTAGACATTGTCTTTTACAACTTCAAGTGCACTATTACCTATCTCGAAAAACTGTTCCTTTCCGAGGTTGTTGTACATTACTTTCGTTTTCTGCTGATTAATTTTAAGACACACCTTTCTGCTCTCCTTGTCTAACTCCGTAATCATGAGTTGCAATTCGTCCCCTGAGTTACTCAGCAATGCAATGTCATCGGCGAAGCGCAGGTTACTAAGGTACTCTCCATTAACTCTTATCCCTAACTGTTCCCATTCTAGGCTTCTGAAAACCTCCTGTAAGCACGCGGTAAATAGCATTGGGGAGATCGTGTCCCCCTGCCTTACACCCTTCTTGATTGGTATTCTGTTGCTTTCTTTATGAAGCACTATGGTAGCAGTTGATCACCTGTAGATTACTTCCAGAATGTTTATATATACTTCATCGAAGCCCTGATTCCGCAGTGTCTGCATGATGGCTGATATTTCTACTGAATCAAACGCCTTCTCGTAATCTAGGAAGGCTATGTATAGTGGTTGGTTATATTCTGAGTATTTCTCTATTACCTGATTGATAGTATGAATTTGGTCGATTGTTGAGTAGCCTGTTCGAAATCCTGCTTGTTCCTTTGGTTGATTGAATTCTAATGTTTTCTTTATTCTGTTAGCAATTACCTTGGTAGATAGCTTGTATACTACAGAGAGCAACCTGATCGGTCTGTAATTTTTCAAATCCTTGTCATCTCCTTTCTTATGTATTAACATGATGTTAGCGTTCTTCCAAGACTCTAGTACTCTTCCCGTCAGGAGACACCTCGTAAACAAGGTGGCTAGTTTTTTTAACACAATCTGTCCTCCATCTTTGAGCAGATCTGATGTTACCTGATCCTCATCAGCAGCTTTGCCTCTTTGCATGCTCTTCAAAGCTTTTCTGACTTCTTCTATCATTACTGATGGGGTGTCATCTGGGTTACTGCTGGTTCTTATAGTATTAAGGTCGTGGTTATCTCGGCTATTGTACAGATCTCTGTAAAACTCCTCCGCTATTTCAACTATCCTATCCATATTGGTAGATATTTTGCCTTCTTCGTCCCTTAGTGCATACATACGACTTTTGCCTATCCCAAGTTTCCTCTTCACTGCTTTGACGCTTCCTCCGTTTTTCAGAGCGTGTTCAATTCTCTCCATGTTATACCTTCTTACATCGCATACGTTACGTCTATTAATCAACTTCGAAAGCTTTGCTAGTTTTATTTTGTTTGTTGTACTTGACACTTTCATGATTTGACGCTTTTTATTTAGGTTCTTCGTTTTCTGGGAAAGCTTGCCAGTGTCCTGTCTAACTACCCTGTCTCCAACTTCCACTGCACACTCCGTAATGATACTCGTCAGATTATCATTCATTGTATCTACGCTAAGGCTGGTTTTCTCACTAAGAGCCGAGTACCTGTTCTGCAGCGACACTCTGAATTCCTGTACTTTCCCTTTCAGTGCTAGCTCATTGATTGGCTTCTTGCGTATCAGTTTCTGTCGTTCCTTCTTCAAGTCTAGGCGAATTCGAGACCGTACCATTCTATGGTCACTGCATCATACCTTTCCAACCAATCTAGTGGATACTGGCGCTGCTATTTCCATTATTCGCTTTGACCTTTGCTCCCGTCTCCGCAAAGTAACACCTTACTCGGGCCCGTCTCTCCATGCTGCGACGAACGCCATTTGTCGTCCACTCGCCCAGTGTACAGTTTTCGTTTTCATAGACGATATTCGTCATCATATTGCTGTTGCAGTTCTGCGTTAGTGCACCCAAGAACTCATTTTGGGGTGGGATTTTCTGTCATGTGCACGCACTTCTAAATCTTGTCCTCAGCGCCTCATCCACCTCAATGCCACCGACTCTTCTGTATCGGAACCCGAACAGCGCATTCGTCTCGTCACCACTTCAGATTATGTTCTTTGGCCATCCTGAGAAGAAGTAATTAACGTTGATTGCATCAACATTGTGGATGGCGACGTGCTTCTACTACCTTATGGCCACACGGTACATCGAGGCATTCTGATCATTCCAGGCCTTGTTCGTTTTTCTGAAGGGTCTGCTTTTATTACTTGGTTAAATAAGACCCCCGAACCCTTATTGTTGCCCTGTGGATCAACAGTCACATGCGCTATTGACCCGCATCCCGTTGCAATTGTTGCCCTTCCAAGTCAAGAAGACCCACCAGAGCAAAACTCGTCGCCACTCAACTCTCCCACTCCTCTATCGGTGACGATAAGCCCTGATTTGACAGCAGCCCAGAGTCAAGAATTGCTGAATTTATTGAACAGACATCGCCCTTTGTTTGACGTTCATTCCTCTGGCCTTAGTATGACAACTTCTGCA